GTTTTGGTTATTCTTAATTATATAATCAATTAGTCCCCCTATACTTTAGGAAAGATCTTTTTTCTCCAAGAATGCATCACGTCACAGGCACAGAAAGTCTCTAAGGTCTAGTAAAAATTCTTTTTCTATATTTTGCTGGTTTTCTGCATTAAATGTTCTAATGTTCCTGAGCTATCAATATGAGGAAAGACTCCCTTTATATCATACAAGCCTCTTCACATCAATCTTTTCATTCTTTCCATTGTATTATACAAACAGAATACAGACACATGCACACCAAAGCCCATGAATAAAGGATGAAAGGAGAACTAGAAAGATGCAAGGGAGGAAAAAAGCTGAAATATTATATCAGAGTAAAGGAGAAGGAAAGCAGAGCCATGTGGAAGCTGCCATTAAATGGCAGTTTCTCTGCAGAAGAGAAGTAGCTTAAATCTGAGTCTAAAGGGGAACAGGCAGAACTGGGAACAGAGAAGGCACAATAGACAGAGAAGAGCAATTTCCTTGCAACAGAGCAATTTCCTTGCAGCAGCAAGGAACCCAAAAGCATTAAGCAACAGTGACACTGGGAGATCCCTTGGAGTTATCAAAGCAGATCCACCTCAACATCAAGCCACACTTTCATCTTTTGCTTCGCTTAAGCCTTTTTGTCCCAGGAAAGCAATATCATTTTAAAAGGTCACTAGGCTTACGCCCAGGAAGCCACATCACCTCAAACTTGAGTACTTAGTCATATAACCTATGAAATTAAAAATTTAAGAATACCATATTCATGGATTGTGTGAACAGCTTCCAGCATATTTTTCCAGTAGCTCTTTCGCTCCAATGGATCAATGTTTTTTTTCTTTTTAAGCCAACTGTTGAGATCAATATTTCCACACTCCATTACCATGTAGATATGATGGTCAGTAATCTCACTAAAAATAAACACACACTTATGTTAAAATTCAAAGCTATTGCTTTAAGGAGTACATCCAAAGATAATCATTTAATAAAAACAGCGGTTACTCACTAGCCATAAAGACGGATGATCTTATCACTGTGTTGCTGGAGTTTACTCAGATGAGCAATTTCATTCTTATAGCTCTCAACAGTCTGCTGATCAGCTTCTTCTAGATTCACGTATTTGACAGCATACAGCTGCTTCTTTTCATTCAATACTTGAAACACCTTCAAAATAGTATTAACAGCTTGATTCATTCCTAATTCCGATTTACTTCGATCCCATCTTGTCACAGTCAGAATTTCCAAAGGAAAAGGGTATATTTTCACAACACTGATTTTACACACTAATTCACTTGTATTTGCTTAAAAGCCAGCCTTTTGAGCCCAGCCACACTTCAAACCACCAGGAAAGATTAAGAAAGCAGCTAGCAAGTACAACAGAAGTAACTTTATCAGAAACCATCTTAGGACTAATTTTACACCTAGGTTCATAGGCCTTCATGCCTTCCCTACCTTAACTCATTTTTTAAGCTCTAAAAGGCTTGAGGTGGGGAGAAAGCAGCCCACTTACTCCTCAGGGCATATGTATAGCCCAGCTTCCACACAAGCTGCAGAAGGCTTCAAGTAAGCAGGCAGGGTCTACCTTGAATTGGCAAGCAACCTTACACTCGGGCACATGATGATCACACTCCTCTGAAGGGCTGGCTATTAAAACAAGATGCAGAGCTCCTCTGGAGAAGCACTGATTTTTAAGCATCTCTCCACCTTAGAAATGATGTTCAAGACTACATACAATCTACCTTCAGACTTCTCTGCAGGAAGTCGAGCGAAAAAAGGAATAGGTTCCCACCATCATTCACTGATCGAAGCAACATTTTTCAGATGCCTAATGTCTGAGTCATCACCTTTTCCTGTTTACGTAGCTTCTGTTCACTATTCTGTATTTATCCTTTACTCTGATTCAGACTCCTGCATCTCCCTGCCATTTTTATTTGGTTTCTCTTCTAAAACAAGGGCTACAGTTTAATACCCCGCACTCATGTTTTATTATGAGGCAGAGCATTCAAGCAACTATTATTGCAGTCTAGGTATTCAAACAGATAAAATAACATTATACCAAATGTAAGCTGCACACTAAGTTTCTTCTGCATCCATTAGGCATAAAGTCGAAGCTTAGAATTACATCAGTAAAATTCTGGTTCTCTGTGTCACCTGAAAACTTTGCACACTTTGTTAATAGCTCAGGCATAAGTTACCAATTAGCCTGGAAGGATAAAAATCATAAATACATAAGCAGGGGCAGAAGGGAGAGCATATGCACAAGCATCTTACCTTACTTGAGCCTCCACTACCTATTTGCTTTAATATTGTATATACTTTTCCTTTGACAGCAAGACATTCGTTTGAAGGTATAGAGGCTGAAACCTGCACAAATACAGGAAAGTTAAAATTAAAATGAATTTTGGCATACATGCAGGGGAATGCAGCAAGGCCTTGCTTGTTCAGTTATGATCTTTCAAGTTGTCTTGCTCCTCCTGAACAAGGTAAAGCATGAAAAAGGAAAACTTTAAATGTATTTGACTACTAGAAATTGAAAATCCCCACATGACGCTATTTCTGTAATAATTAGCAGAAGGTTTCTAGGCAACATGAATCTACAGGAATCTCTAAGCTTGTCTATCAACATATTCAATACGGACCTCGAAAAACCCTCACAAAGCTCTGTAGAGACCAAGGACTGAAACTAGGCCAGGTTGAAAAAGGGCCTCCTGAAAAAGGGCCAATTACCTCTTCTTAAGAGTAATTCCAACAAAAGTGGCTAATTAGGCCTGACGCTTATGGAGGCACTTTGCTATTTTTGTTTTATATTTTTATTTTAGGCCACTCACTTGCCTATGACTACCACACAGGCAGGTGAACACCTGTGTTAGGACACAGGTGACACTCATGCTCTATGGCAACTTCGAGGAGCAGAATCAAGGAGCTCTGCCATAGGACCCACATCATGCACATGCTCCAGCTATGCGCACTGCTAGAGTAAAACTTTCAAGTGTGAGCACTGTAGAAAAAAGCCAAGTTGGAGATGACACCAATACCACAGGAGCTTTGTAACAGCATCCCAGATACTGCTTTCTGTTCAGCGAGGCTTAACAGACTTACAGGCCTGGATATAGAATAAGCCTGATTGTGGTCCACAACTCAAAACACTACTGTAGACACCTTGTCTAAATGCAACTTAGTCATTTCACATTAAGTCAGTGGCTGAAATTTATATTCATTACCTAGTTTTATGTACTGCTGTTAAGATTTCTACCAGGATGTGCAACCCCAAAGTGATCCATTTTTTCATGATTTCAGGTACCTGTACACTCAAAATATGACATTCAATAGAACAGAGAAAGAATGCAACTCTGCATTTTGTCGTCCTCCTTCAGATGCTAAAGTAGCTACCAAATTTAAATGAAAATATGAGACTAAAGTGACAAAAGATGTTTAAGTGCATAAAAATCTAAAATTGTTACCTGCACACCAATCTGATTTTGAAATGGAGTTGCTGGAGTATGTGGTAGGAAATGTGGTAGCTGACCAAATGGAGTAGAAATTTGACATCCTGGTGGAAAGTTATTCTTCACAACTGGTGTTCTGAAACTAAAAATAAAGATCATGAAGACAACCTGCATCTAGATGCATTTTTTCCTAAATACATTTTTTCACACAAAGCTGAAGCCTTCAGTGCTTCTTCAAACTTAGGAAGTTACACAGTGAATCAGAAAAGGCCAAAGATCTGCTATATTAAATACCTACTACAAAGACCATCAATATTACACATGCATAAAAATCTGAGGTACCACAAAGTCCATGAACTGAAGAGTCCTTAGAAGGAGGCTTAAGCTATAGAATACTTAGGCAATCTTTCTTAAAAGAGTAACTAATCAACTCCCCTTCTGGGACTGGCCAGATAGAAAATGAAAGCACTACACAACTAAAAAAGTATGCCCACAGGACAACATAAACAGAGATTAATTTTATGCTCAAAGCAGCAGAGACCAAAATAGCCCATTGTTTACAGTCAAGAAATTGAAACAGATTAAAACCAAAGTTGAAAATCTAATACATGTAGAACCTTTGGTAGGGAAGAAAATGAGAGAAGTTTGATTTTTAAATCCCTCTGTTTTCCAAGCATAGCTCTCTGATCACAGCAAAACACTCAGTAGTTCTGTATATATGCAGTACTTATGTATAATGAACTTGATTTTAAGTGATTAATAATGCAGCCCTGTGCCACATGCTCTAAGTGACCCTGTGTGTGCAGGGGGGTTGGACTCATTGACCTCTAGAGGTCCCTTCCAAACTTAAGTATTCTATGATTCTATGATTTCCACACCATCAAATTGTGGAAGAAGCAAAAATATATATATCCCCTTCCAAACTTAAGTATTCTATGATTTCCATACCATCAAATTGTGGAAGAGGCAAAAATATATATTTTGAGGTTATTTTTTAAAATCAATTTCCATTATAAGATCATGTGCTTCATTCATTACACATACTCTAAGTTTTAGAGCTACAGAGGCAGAAGTCCTGACTGTAACAAAACTTACTCATCCTGCAGTCTTGACCTACATGATTCACCTCTAGAGACTTCTGAAAACAATAGGTGATCACAATTAAATATTTATCAACACATGAACAGAGATTTATGCCAGTTTTAGGATTGAATAAAACACACTAGCATTTCCTAACTCAAGTGGTTTCTTCCGCAAGCCTCTAGATTTTAGGGTTATTTTAAACTCAAGATATTTACATCATGGGAACCAGACTGATTCTCGCAGTTAGCAATGTAAAAAGCATGAGAAAAAATGGCATCTGAAAGAAAAAGCATCCTGAAGCAGGAATCAGAACAATAACTCTATGCTGTAAATACGGACTCATCGATTAGATTTTGTTCTTCCAATGCCAATTAACAGGGAAGCACAAGAGCTCCCTAAACACAAAGAATCTCAGGTAACTGATGTGGGCCTGAAAGTTGCCAGCGATCTTGTTTGCTACCTGAACAGCAAAGCTTTAGAACAGTGTTAGCAATTGCTGAAGTCACTGCCAAGGTCAGCATCTACCCCCAGCTATACAGCTCACAGAGAAAGAGCTTACCAGTCCATGTAATCAATAAATGTGGTGCTTGGTGTGCCACAAACATGCAGTGGATCATTCTTCTTTGAAACAGTATCTGATGGTGATAATTCTTTTGAAGTTGGATGACTAGTTTGTTCAAAACTCGACTGCTTTCCCTAGAGGGCAAAGCAAACTATTATCCCACAAGAGGAACCACAGTGAAGAATACAGAAGTCACTTTTCAGCACTTGTTGAAAGTGTTGAAAGTTTTCCTTTTGAACATAGGAAATGTTCATGCTGAACATGTTCCTTGTTGCTTTACCTGTTTACAGAAACTTTTCTGAGTGACTTCTTGAACTGGCCATTTTCTCCTGGAGTTAACACAGCTCAGTTTTATCCGATCTATTTGCTTCCTATAACCTTCAGCAGAACTTGATTGTTGCTGTTGGCTTTCTAGACTTCTTGGCTCTGGTATCTTCAGCTCGTGATACTGGATTTTGTTTTCTGAAGTAGTTTATCATTTAAAAAAGAATACACATAAACCCTCAAACTTAATATTCTAGTACTTTAAATTGTTTCAGGAAGATCTAGCCCACAGTTTCTAAACCATTTTTCCTTTTTTATGACAAAATAAATGAATATAGTTGACTTAGACTCCCACATCTGTTACAGCAAACAATACTTAAAAGGCCTTAATCATGTCCCCAGTCCATATTCAGTTCAGTGCGGTCACACAACTCTTCCTGTAAAAGTCTTAGGATATTACTATAACAAAGTAGTATTTGTGGTTTTGTTCATCAACATGCACAGAAATACTTTACCAATCACCCTGAGACACTCAGGAGTTACAAAGCATTCTAAAAAGTACAAATACTTGTGAAAGTCTTGTCCATGACGACAGTCAACCCATGTAGAAAAACAGAGGTCGCCTTTGTCTTTTGTTTGACACCAAAACCAGAGGGACATGGCATCCCTCAGTCTCAGTAGTAACCTTGGTCCTATTTCAAGGTCTATTTATATTAAATCATCTACATAAACATCGCTACAGGACATAGATATAGATTAGTCCTATACATCTTTCTTCAAGCCTATAACTTCACAAAGGGTTGTCTGTCTTAATTTTGAACAATACTGTCATCTTTTTTGATACCACTTCCACAGGCACCACTCGGTAGCCAAATTTAAATTAAATCATTCTTACAACCCTCCAGATTTTCACTTTGAGGAACATTCTTTGCTAAAGCATTAGTTTAGACAGAACAACAAATTTTCAAAGCTTATTCTTTTTCAAACGACTAAAACATAACAACATTACCTTCTTTTTTTGTTGCCAGACTTGCATCCATTTTTGGTTTGAGAGTTATAGTTGAACTAGTAGCAGTTTCTAAACTGTCCTCATCCAACTGCATCTGCAACTTTACAGAGTTTTTGTCTTCTAAAGACTAAAAGAAAAAGTATCTTAAGGAATCAAGAAAAAAAGCTCAGGATATCTGAAGGATATTTACTTATGATAACTAATAGCTAGATTATACCACAAAACAAATACACTTTACAATACAGTGGAGGATACTGACAATAATCAATTTATCCTATTTTTAAATCAACATCCTGATTTTCCATCATACAGTTTCTATAACAAAGTCTTGGATTTTCTTTCTTGGAGAAAAACAAGAAGATGGGACATAAAAGTGCAAGACAGTTCAAAAAGTAAATCTACCGAAACCTGTTATCTATAGTTCCATAAAACACCTAACTGAACTTCACCGAAGTTGAATATTTCTGATAAAACTCATGACTAGAGCTGAAAAAAGTGGAGATATGCAATCTTACTCCCTCTTTATAAATCAAACAGATTTTAAATTCCTCTCCTTTCTCTGAGGCATTGAGAAAGAGTTCTCTAGAGCAGTGCTTGATCATAAAGATTTTCAAAAGGAAATGCCATAGTGAGTGTTTCTACCCATAGCAAATTACTTAACATGCAGAAATCCTACTTTATTTCCTTCCTAGATTGAAAAGTTTCTCCTCTCTTCTCTCCCCTCATAACAGAGTTCCTTCTACTTTACATAAAAAGGAAGGTTTAAGTTACCTTTAAGTCTCCCAGGTCATATGAATCATCCTCACTAGATTTTGGTTCAGATAGTGGAAAATGTGCAATCAAGGCTGTAGATTTTGAGCTGGATATTTGCCTATTAAAAACAATATTGTTAATTACATCACATGTCAGTATATAATAGCTAGCTATCTGGATGAAAAATATCATTTCTATGAAAACTTCTAGCTAGAAGTGTCAAATGAAGGGGAAAGCCAGGCATAATAGCCAAGTGAGAAACAACAACAAAAAGTAGAAAAATGCCACCATCATCAACAAAGTGACAGACAATTAACTGGCTTTCTTTAACAGAAAACTGATGAGCAAGGGATAAGATCCTAAACCCAAATGGTGTTTTTCAAAGCAAGCACTTAAATACTCATAGAAAAAAAGCTGTTGTGACATATGTTTTCCCACTACTTCCACAGATTCAGAATACCGAATTTAAATTTGCTATAGAGAGATTAAGTACAAAATCTTTTTTTATTCTTCAGGCACATACTTTTGTAGAAACAAAGCTCCCCATTTCTGTGTGAATTTTTCCACACAGTTACAAAAGGAAGAAATTTGTACAGCAAGACTGAATGAGGAAAAAAGCCTGCCCTTTCTGCTTGCTTTCAAGGCACACACAGCTCAGGAGTAATACAAAAACTTCTACCAAGCTGGCAGATGCAGATTCTGCCACTGGTGGCCAAGTACTCAAACTGAAATGAGCATTAACACTTCCTTAATATTACAACTAACATACAGATTAAGAAGCCTCAGTCATCTCGCCCAAGAATTTATGAAAAATTGTGTGTAACACTGCAGTTAAAAGTTCAGATTTAAAAATCTGTCAAACTACAGGTCTGCTTTCCATCTAATTTTAGGGATGAGTACACACCATTACAAAGTTACTTTGAATACTTTGTCTCATTTACTTTTACATCTCTCCATTGATTACATACAGTTAATTGGAGTGGCAACACGGAAAGCAAAATAAAGCAACACCTACATGATAATGATCATCTTTCATCAATAATTTTAACACTTGACATTTTTGCTACTTAATAAAAGCATGCAGCTAAAAAGCAGAATTAAAATATAATATGCTGCGGTAAAACCCCATGACAATACCTCTTCATAACACTAGCTGTAAGCGGGACATCCACCTTCTTTACATCATCATCATCATCATCAGTATCAGTTACAAGTTTAACAGGAACCCTCCCAAAAGGGCAGGCCTGAGGGCAAATGGGATATTATGAGATATGTAAAGTGGAAAGAAAAGGCTAAAATTTTGAACAAAAATGTTACATATTCTACCTGATTAGATTTGGATAATGGTCTTAGTGGATTATAGCAGCCCAAATTAGCATCAAACTCCTGCAATTTCTCCCTGCTAAAACCAAGAGAAAAAAAAATGTTGGTTTTTTTAATGATGATTTAAGAACCTTAAATAAAATATTAAAAAAAAACCAAACCCTTACCCAGGAGTAGCAATGTAAGAATTTTCAGAATCACTCATTTTTCTACTTTTGAGATTTCCAAACACGTTCTGAAGACCAGACGATTGTGTGCTTGATACTGCAAGCAAATTAGAATTATTCAGCTAGTACTACAGATATTTTTATTTTTAAAGACAACTTCTTTCATGACAACTGCAACTTGAAAAAAAATACAGACATTCACAGTAACCTAGAACCAAAATATCATATTTATCTAGGTACATTTATCTAGGTAGGCATCTTATATCTTGCAACCACAGGGAGTGTTTGAGCATGAGAGTACAGACTGCAACAAATGAATATACTAAATATATTAAATATCCATTTTAGAAACTGCTCTAGTTGCATCCTATGACTAAGACACTCAAAAGGGGGAGTTAAGATCCAGCAAGTCAAAAAAAATATTTAAGACAGCCTCCCATAACTAATCATGACCTTCATTCCTTATCAAGGAATAATATTTTTCCTGATAGTTTATTTCTATTTAGATGAGGAGGTAAAATGGACTAACCTACCCATTCCCCAAAACTCATTTCTTCCTAAATGGCAGGCAGGCATTTGACATATATTCCCTCAGATGCGCAACAACTAAAGCCACTACTGTTACAGGTGGAGCTCATACAACCCACAAAAGAGAAGAGTTTGTGTGGAACAGTGTATCAGCTGTGGCACTGAAAGTTAATGTGATTAATGAAAATAGGACCAAAAATAGTTAATTCTACTAAAAAATTAATACTAGAATGAAGTATTATTGCAAATCTTGCCAAATGTTTTTTTCCCCCCCTGCAACTAACACTCCACATAAAGGTTCATTTAACAGGAGACAGTCAAATCTCAATAACTTTCTTCTATGAGAATCAAGTTTCATTTCCCTCAGTTCTGCCCTTACACAAGGGGTTTGCTTTCTTTTGAGCAGGGGGAATGCTAGATGCCACTCTTGCAAAAATTAGTCACATGGGCCTCTACATTTGACTTTGTTTTTTTTTTTGGCTGAGTTCCTCTCCAAAGAAGTCTCTTGAAAATTTGATAGGTTATTGAATTTATATACCAGGACCACAGACCTCTGGTATCAGTTGTATTGTACAAAAAAGAATCAAGCATTTAAAAAGCTTATCAGTACAAAATAGAATCCGTTTATAAAATAAATATGAAGTTGGAACAAGTCTTTTTCCTAGGTTTGACTTCACCTAAATTGCTGCCAAAACTTCTTCAGCATAAGCTTCATACGATAGACCTCAAGATAAGCTATCTGTATTGCTTACTCTATACTTTCTGTGTCTAATCTTCTGTGTCACTAGCTCTGTATTTCACACCTCCAGCTACAGGCGTTGTTACCAAGTGCAAACATGGACAGAAGAACACCCTTGGCAGTGTTAGTGTATCACCCTACTAACAGGTAACTAACTGTAACCTTGGGCTTCTGCAGTCTGACATCACTGTTGCAGAGGCACAGCTGAGAACTAAAGGAACAGTGAAGGATGCAAAATGCCTAAGGACCATCAATATCATCCTTCATTGACACTAACAGAGCTCTTGAGCTTTTCTACAAGAGACATCACAAAAATAACTTCTGAATCTGATATTACAAATTGCATAAACTGATATTTTAAGAGGCTGCAGTTACCTGCCAAGTTCTCCTTCTCCTCATCTGAAAGCAACTGCTTCTTTTGTGAATTAAAGTTTTTCAGAGCAGTCTCCAACATTTCTAACGGAACAGCACAAGAGTCCACAGCTTTCTGAAGAAGCTGCTTACACTTCTTCCTATTTCCTAAGTTTTAAGGAACAAGGAGATAGAAATTAAAAGAATATAAACAATTAAGAGTATGCGAAGATGTTCTTATTTTTAAAAGTGTGCTCATTTCATGCTTTATATTCACTTTGCATCATTCTCTGCAAACACTGTTTATTATGTGTTGTTCCCGTTTAGACACGCACCTATTTCAGTGATACTACCTGGAGCTGGCAGCATGGTTTTTCCTGTGGAATTGAACAAGTCAAATTATGCTTTATGAACTCACATAGCTTCATTCTCAGCATTTGTTTAGTTTGTGCTACAAAAGCCACAAAGAAGACGAAAAAGTTTTATGGAAAGAAGAAAAAGTTTTATGGACCTAACCTGACTAAATACAAAAGGTAATAAATACAAGTACCTTCTAAAACATCTTTAATTTAACCAGGAATCAGAGTTAAAAGCTGCTGAAGTTAAAACCCAAAAATCACTCGGACTGGCACTACAGTTGGGAGGAATAGAAAAAGAAAGGATATTGTTTCACTGTAGCTCTACATGCTACTAAACACCATAAACAGAGATACAAGAGAAGTGCAAGGTATTTTAACTGGATTCTTAAATATGCATTTTGATTTCATATATGATCACATACTCGGCTATAAACGCCAAAGAGTTGAGCAGAAAGTGGAGAGACATGTACATCCATATCACTTTGTAAATTGCAAAAGCTTTTATTTATGGTCTTAGGCTTTGAATACTTCACTGGAAAAACTGGTTTCAAGCAAACCACCACAGAAGCCACACTAGCAGTGAAGAGAAAGTGTTCTATTTAAATGAAGTTTTATTAAAGAGTGAGAATGATACCTTTGTGTGTGTGTGTCCCCCCCCACACACACACTTCTTCCTCATTCTTCCTCAGGTCATGAATAGCCATCTTGTGAGCTAACCAAGTTGCTAACCACGATTTCAGAATTTTCAGTTGAGATTTACCTAATAGTTTTGCTCAAAACATGGAAGCAAATGTGTAATTTTGAACTCAGTGAAAAAGTAAAAGAAACTATATACAACTCAAAAAAGAAACAACATGCAGCAAGCATCTTACACTAAAGCTCTGTACACATTACCAAACATCAAACAGATGGGAATAACAGATATAAATCAAGAGAACATATGGGAGTCAAACTATTTATGATTGCCTTTGCATTTTGGGGGCTAAAATTTAGTTTCTCACTATCTGCTTTCAAAGTACAGAGCTGTTGCACAAACACATCCCATAGCTAGGGGTTAATTAAATCCACTGGGCACTGTGATAGAAGGATGGATTAAGTCATTGATAATGACAGGTAACATTTCTACACCTTCCTTGGATTACACAATAGAGTTTTATGTCTATTACACTGTATTTTACAACATCATAATTATCAGAGTATTGTTTAATTACCCTTATTAACAAACATTCAACACTCACTGGAAGTTACTCGCTGGAAATTTTTCTCTACTGTTCACATGGTCAGCACGACAACCTGACCTTAGAACAGGCCCCTGTCAGGCACCTGATTGAATTTAAAACTGAAATTGTCTTGAAACTTAGACACACAAACTTTTGCCTGACACAATGAGAGCGCCCAAAATTTATCCATGAGGACCTCCTCTTTGAGAGAGATAAAAGAGTTCAAATGGAGCATGTTTTTCTTCTTGGGAGAAAAGAGATCTTGCAAAGAGAGAAAAGAACAGAGTGGCACAGGTCACATTCCAATCTTTATTCCATAGGCAATTTGAGTAGAGACATACACAAATATAGCTCACAAGTAGGTAGTGCATTAGGGCTACCAAGTACTAGAGTCATGTCTCCTCTACATTACATATAACAAAAGAAGTTGCATGATGGGCTAAAAGGAACTCCATGGACTGCTGAAGTACTGAGGACCTATTCTTTTAAGCTAATTAGAGCATCATTTCAACAGCCACCTAGAATCTGAAAAATACTAAAATCATCTGAAACATCAAGATACCTTCTGAGATGCATAGAATAGATCAATTTGGAAAAAAGCGGGAGCTGGGTAGCTTCCCCTAGCTAGAACAGTTCATGCACCCCTTAGGGAAGGGGACTGTCATATCAGAATCACTTGTCTAACACACTGCAGTATAATGCTATACAAAAAAACACCACTATCTTGCACATTTTTCCCCCTCTTGCAGAGGGCTGGAACATGGCATAATATTGTCAAGTAATTCTACTCCAAGCTACCAAGAACCAGAAAACATCATTCACCGCCCTTTTTCCCAACATGACTATTCAACATCAGGCCAGGAAAGAGATGAGTAAGCTACAAGTCAGTTGTTAGCTATTTAAGGTCCTGCATGGCAGAAGGGGGAATTAGTTTGTTCAAATTTCATATTTGAATTTCAGTGAATTTTGATTCAATAAAAAGCAAATAAAGAATCTACTTTTTCTTTTTTTGAAGGAGCCAGAATGAAGAGTAATTTTCCTGACCTGCCTTTGAAGTGAAACTAGGTCATCCTTAAGAAACCTTAGAAATACAAATATGAAGGTATAGCTCTCAAACTAAGCGACTCACCACCCCTATGCTCTTGAGTTATATTCCAAAGCAGTTTACCAACAGCCAAAGAATTTTGTCTTCCAAAAGCAAGATACACACATCTAAAGGAGATTACCACTCAAACTTGACTCATTTTTCACACCAAGAGCCTTACGCACACCTAACAGCATAATAGATCTACTTGAGATCACTGCCAGATTTCACCTTGGTTTAATATTATTTCTAAAGAGGGGAAAAAACTATTAAAAATCATGTGCATATTTTCATTTAAAATGAAAGCACATGTTTAAGTTTTAATTAAAAAAGCATTTCATTTTCTCATTTTAACCTATATCACAGTTCCTTAAAAAAACATGACAGAGCAGCATCCACAGAAAAACACACCCACACTAAAATAACACCACCCACAAAACAAGTTTTTCTACACACCTTGTGATAGCTCAAACTGTGCAAAAGCCACATGCACAAAAGCAAACTTCTTGCAATTTAGTCTGGCCAAGTGAAACTGGTCACGTGCCTCCTCTGGGTCTTGAAAACTGTAAAGAAAGAATGGCAACAGTTACAGAAGACACTGAATTACAAGAATCAAGTTCACTGTACTCAGTGATGGCATCAGGTAATTCTAGAAATGATCTATAGTCAACAAGTTTTTTTTTTCCTCCCCTAGAACCATTACTGAAGTGCAAATAAGTGAAGAGTCTCAAAAAAAAACCACCAATAACTGAAAGATATCAAATTGACCCTTTCCATAAAATTATATAGTGAAGGGTTTAATTATATCAATGTCTCATTAATGACTTAGGTGTATTACTGCAGTCCAGTTAATTTGAACACACTCAACTCTGATAACCCAGAGCCTATAGGATAAGGACAGAAAAACTAATTAAGCTTTAACACATTAATTACTTTCTCACTTGTAAAAAAAAATCCAAGCATTTTGGTAAGGAGAGGGGAAAAAGACACAGACTTGGATCTTGGCAGCACTGTGCAGCAGCCAGGCAGAAGAGCCAGGAGAGCCTTGCATGGCTCATCTGCAATATGGATGAGCCCTTCACAAGGGCAGTTGGCTGCTCAGCCTAGCCTTTTTTCCAGGGCATTCAGAGGTTTCACTTGCACCATCAGAATCACAAAGGGTGGAATTGTCTAGAAAATGGACCAGGGCAATACAGGCTAAGAATAAATGAAGAGTGTTGATGCTAACAGACACTAAAGCTCCAAAATTACTACAAATTGTCACTGCTTGTTTCATTCATGATGCCATGACTTGCTCTCCTGTTATGCGGAGGGTTTGCAAGAACCACAAATTAAACCCTGCTGTAAAACATCTTTCTTTGCCCACCAAAGACACTAAAAGTGGTGTAAAATCAGTGATCAAAGATCCCTTACTTGCAGAGAAGAAAAAAAGCACGCAGCCTAGTAAGTCCTGAGACAGCCCTAACCTGTAAAACTCGGAATAAGAGCTGGCTAATCTCCAAAAGCAGTTTAAAAGTAAAGAGCTACCATTTAGGTTCCACGGGGATTGACAATGTGCCAGATTTTGGTGGAAATTTTTTTTTTCCTTCTTAGTTAGGTCATTGTTTTAATAATTTCCGTTGGCAGTCAAGAAACGATTTATGGTATTTGTTGATTAACATATACAAAGCAGAAAATGAAAAAAAAAAAAAAAAGAAACAGATCCAAGTTACTCAAGGAGCTGGGTGCACTTTACAGTGACAGTCATTATCAAAGCAGAAGATGTTTTACTATTGCTGAAGGTATTTAATACTGAAACAAAAAAGCAGATTATTTCCCAAAAGGTCACTATCTGTAGTGGTCAGATAACTAAACACAAGCCAGTCTTGCAACTAAGAGGGTTAATATGTATTCTAGTATTAACAGACTAATATAATACTTTGTATAGATAGAATATGGCACACTTATGGCATCGGTATTTTTAAAAGCGCATTTCAGAAGTGGAAAGATGTCCAGGATTAGATATTCCCCCGCCCTCTTCCTTAATCATTTTCCATGATTTATGGTGAGAGCTCGATTTAGTTCAGAAAGAACATAAATGTGACTTGATAAACATCCAAGCACCATTTTGATGAAGAAATTCAGAATGTCAAAGGCTTTTTAAACCCGAAAAAGACTATAAGCTGGAAATTTTACCACAATCACTCAGAAGAAAAGCCACAAACCACTGAACAAGAAAAAACATCTCTCAGTATCTTCAACTAAAGACAGGAAATCTTTCTGGAAGATGTTTACTTCCGAATTTACACAAAATCATTTTTCTTCAAGATGCTACAGATTCACAGCAGGACATTACTCACTGCTGCTCCCTTCCCAGTAATAGATTCAAGAGAACACTGTAGACAGAGCAGAAGCAAACAAGGATGAAAAGATCCATTCAACTGAAAGACTAGACAAAGTGGATATCAATACAGCAAGATCAAGCCTCCTGCCAAAAGACCATGCAGAAGAACACAGAAAGGAAAAGTCTACAGACCACCTGATCTTTTTCTTTGACTGATAAATGCTGTTAAAAGCAACTCATCTCAACACAAGTGCTGTCACAATATGTCAAGTGACAAGAGAACTCACAAAAAGGAAAAACGCAAGACAAAATCCTGCTCTAATAAATATCTGTAAGGAAACACTGGTGTCCCAATTTGGACAAAGCGATAATGTTAGCCAGAACTAGTCCTCTAAGTCATGAAAGTCTAGAGTTGTGTTCCAAGATGTTATTGCCATCCTAGGGCAGCTATTTCATTGCTGAATAGTTCAAGCTATACCAAAAGAAAAAACACATTAAACAAGGAAGTTCAAGACCACTGAATTTTGGCTAAATAGACTGGATAATAGCAGGTCGTGTACCTCCCAGTTATGGCAAGTGTAACTGACTTATTATAGTCCTCAAGGAAATAATCTTGCAATGTACACAGGTTAATACAAAATTTATAATTCCCCCCAAAATACAAAGTTTCATCAGATTTCGCCTGCGTTGCTCTCTGCAGCTTCTTTTAAGATGATGCATAAAGTTGAAAAAAGGTGGAGGAAAGGGAAAGCCTCAAGCATCTCATGCGACTTCCCATCTGCCTGACATACAATCAAGGCAAAGGGCACACTAACACATCTAGGTCAAACAGTTCTGAGCAATCATTCTTTATAAGAATGTAAAGTACTGTAAAAGCAGTAGTTAACTGGCCATCAAGCCTGCTCAAAATTTCAAAGATACTACAAGAAAACATCATAATCTGTTAAAGCACCTACTTATGTTATCAAAACCACTGATGCAAAATAACTATCATTACCGTCATCAAAATTCAGATATCAGAAATGGGGCTCTTCTACTGAAGAATGTACACTTACGCTTTCAGCTCAGCAAATCGCACGAGGATGCGAGCGTAGCTCTCATCTTGACTGTGCTTTTCTGCAGGTAACGCAGTTACAGCTTGACTGTAACGACCAATGAGTCGATTGAGCAGAGCAGTGTCCATCTGAGGAATACCCTTTTTCTCCAGCCTAAGCAAGAAACTCAGCCAATCTTCTGGATTATTTGTCATCATTATTCGATTAACAGTTCCGGAGTTATCTAACAGAAAAATGGTTTGGTTAAAATTGCAGCAAACATGAAAAGCAGCAGAAAATCCACCAAGAGTGTTTTAATCTAGACTAGGTTTATTTTCCACCCCATCATGCTAGATCAGAGTAACAAAAGGTTACTAAAAACAACAAGATGCAATTCATGTGATTCATACGAAAGAAATGCTAAAAGGATACTACTGAAACACTTTAAACCCTTTCAGTTCTTCCTTTCTTAGTCTAGGTTAAGATCAGTTATAGAAGTGACAGAGATTAACAAAAAAGCATACCTGTTGTATCAGCTGATATTTTAGTACAGTTAAATTCATCTGTGACATTGTCTTCATTTTTGTACTTGTTTTTCAGATCTCTAACTCTACTCAAGATTGAAGCAATCTGTGGTAATCCTCTTGCACTTAGATCCTCCTCCATCTGCAAGACAAGGTTGAAAACTAGTAAGTTACAGAAGAACTGCCCAGTGTAGCAAATCCTTAACTGCTATTACCTTTAATTGGTAGTGCATGGAAAACATGTATTCTACAGATTAGTTGAGATTAAACCAAGTTACACAACAAATACGCTACTTAGACTTTGTCAGCTTAGTTGCACAAATAAACTTCACAGCAGAAGTCACTTTAGACAGCAAAAGGAGCCACTTCAGAGCGGCAAAAGACTAAATTGGTCTGCTAAAACAGCAATCCATGCTGCATAAGAGCTCTTTCCAATGAAATATCCAGTGTTGCAGTAGAGTATATGGGAAGGACAGATGTTGCCTGACATCTTAGTATTTGCACATTCTAAATCCACTGATTTGGATGGCTAACAGGTGTCCTCCTCCTAGTCTCATACTCCTGCCACTTCTCTTAAACCTACCCTCTCCACCCCTGCATCCTCAACTGCCTCACCAAGTGGAGAGAAAGGAAAGGTAGGAAGGAAAGACCTTTTCACTTGGTGATACTTCCTAAGAGTGGGTTAGACTACCTGAGAAGTCTGGTCTTTCCTTCTATCTTAGATGTTTCAGGTAGAGACAGAAAATATGACATTGTAAATGTCAACTTTCAGCAACAGTTAAAATTCTCAAATCTCATTCCATTCTTAACACAGACATAAGCTAAAGCAGAACTAATAAATTTAAAGAGAGCAAAAGTAGCCTAAAACTCACCTTTTCAGCAATAGCATTTCCCTGTACAGGCCCAATATTAATATATTATATGCACAGTAGAACAACAAATTCTACCCTGAAATGTAGGATTTGCCTTGATTTTAATATTATGTTTCTTTAAAGTAGCACTTAATTAAAACACATGGCATATTTGTTTATACCATTGTGAGTTTAAAATCAAACATTTTGAAATACTTGCTTCCTATAGTTTTCATTAAACTTTGCTGTTGCAAAATTTTACAGCCTAGATCTCTTATCCAAAGAATTAAGTCTTTATTACAAATAAAGACAAAACATTGAACACAGATAAACCAGAAAGGAAGGTGTAACATAACTCTGCTACACTGCTGTAATAAATATTGTGCAACTTTGGTATTAAATCCTGGCTGAAATACTTGCTTTATTAGGGAATACACTCCAAAACCAAAACCAAGAGTTGGTGGTAGAGAAGGTTAGCCAAGAAACACTAATCAAAAGAGAAAGTTCACAGATGAAACATCAAAGAAAATAATCTGTGTAGGAGCTGGAAGAGCCCTAGAGCAGAGATTTGTATAGTCAACTACTAAGATTTAGCCCTACATAACTGAGGTAATTAAAGTCTTACAAAACTAACAGCATGTTTATATTTACACGAAAATACTGAAAACCTAGCAAGGACAAAATACGTTTCACCTTTCTACAGGCTCTCACTTCAAGAAGGGCAAGATCTTGTGTATATTTCCAAAGAACAAACCACATAAAAGATGTGATAGGGTCACTGGCACGTGTGGCCACTTATTAACAAAGCAAATTATTTACTTTGCTAAGTGCTGTTGTATACAAACAGCATATTTATATATAGCACTGGCAAACAGCTTGTGCTGAAATTAAATGAAGCTACAGATTAGATCAACTTATCTACAAAATGTGTCTTCTCCAAGACGAGATATCCATATCCTAAGGCTTTTCACAACACCCACATAGCAAAACACTAAAGCACACACAAAGAACTGCATGAAAAAGTTACATTCTGAAGTACAAAGAACAGCATCTTTATGTATAAACATACTAATACTTGCCTATACTAATACTTTTCTTCCATAGAAAGATCTAACATTTTTAAAAGCATCTTGGCAAGTTTTTGAAAACAAGATTATGGAAGTGCTAGAAGAAAATAAATCTTATGACCCAGTAGGTCTCTCTTCATTGTTTTAGTATGTAATGTTTTCTACATACATTTGCTTTGTACTGTTAGGGAAAAAAAGTTTAAAAATAAGTACTACAGTTTCAGCAAAGTTTTTTTTTGTCATCACAGATATCACCTTTTTGGCATCAGTAGAAGAGAAAAATAAGGAAGTAATGTGTAGTTGTGTCCATTTTATCTGGAAATAATTGGACAATATGAAATTTTCCAAAACAGGTATACAGTTTAACATGCACGAAATCACATACGGATAAAAGACAAAGAATCTGCCTCTATTTCTACATGTGAAATATTAGGTCTTGCAAATTAATTCTGCAATAAAACACTGTAATTAAATCTGCTAAATTAAGTTCAACCACTACAATTAAATCTCAGAACTATAAATCTTCATTACAACTGACATTGCTGACTACCAGTTGATTTAGTTTCAAATGACTCCAACACAAAGCCCAAAGCCATAAATATCTGCAAATCCTTTCCTCTGATCTCTTGTGCTTAGCAGCAAAGATAAGGAAATAAGAGACCTGCTTTTGCATTTATCCATTAATTGAACTGAACACTGAAGAATTCTGAATGGGCTTTAGCAGAACTAAGCCTGTGAAGAGATGGGGCAGAGATGATTTTTTTAAATCATATTTATATCTTTTCATGGGGTGAATTATAGTAAGAAAATAAATCTATACCTTAAAAGCTGAAATGTGACTCTGAAGTACTGTTTGCATAGTTACTAGCAGTACCCATGGGTTTTCAGGCTATCCTGAGACCAATTGTATACTGTAAACCACCCCATTTTTCAGGAGAGTTCTGCTGAAAAATGACATAGGAGACTAATATAGCAAAGACTGCTTTATTAATTCCCTTAACTTCCCAAAGATTATATCTACTTACCTCATGGGAATAAAGATATTCACATCTGCCTAAGAAAGTTTTTGATATCTCTTTCAGTTTTGCTTTTGATAAATAAAGCAGATAAAACAGATCTAGAGTATTTGAGCTTATCATGGGTGAAAATATCCTTCAAACCCTGGCTTTGAACAGTATCTACCCCCTGTAGCTATATATCTATGTACCGATGAAGTTAATTTCTTTGCACCAGAACACCAAAAGAAATCTTCCTCACGCAGTGGCAGTATCGTAGTCAATGAGGTTAATCTGAGGCACGGTTATTGCTAATTTCTATGATGTTCAATAATGAAATGACTTCCCAGCATAACACTTGCTCACAATTCCCAGCTGGGTGAGGAAAAAGAAAAAACGTGTTTAAAAAGAAAAAAACACGCATAAACGGCTAGTTATTCTTCCAACGACAGACTAAAAAACATAACAAATAATTTCCTGAAGACGTTTAATCTTAACTCATATCAACTTACTTTTCCTGTGTGAAGCTTATAAACTGTTCAAGGCTCAATGCGTACTATACACAGAAAAGCTCTCCTAAGGAACAGATAAGCCTTGGCAAAAAAGCTATTGAGGATAAGGGTCAGAGTTTTTCAGATGTTCCAAAGAATCCAGAGACAAGAAACATAACTCTCCATCCTGCAAGGTTTCTGCATATGAAAAATGAAATAGTTAGAGATTGTCAAGTAAATGTACATAGATTGACCTCCTAAACCTGGCTCATCTTCATATCATCTCACGATGAAATGACCTTTTAAATGAGCTGACATTAGAACACATCAATGCTATCCCAAATTAGTGAATAAAGAGCATGAAAAAGTATGCAAAGACTACTTTGGGAAGTACTTTCAAATGCTTCTTCTGATTATGGAAGAACAGAAACATCTATGGCCAGCACCCATCCTTTACAGCTTAGGTCTCAGACCATAGCAGAGAATGAGGAAAAGAAAAAAGGAAAATACACATGACTACTCCAGCAAATACTACTTCAGATGGCTTCAACACCAGAGGCTGATATATCACGAAAGCTAAAGATACAGGGAAAAATACCCAGTTATATTGTTTTTGTTTACAGATTTATTGACAAAATATACACTATCAGCATAATAATCTATGTATTTTCATGATTTGTAATTAATTTTTCTAATTTGCTGATCATGCAAGTACTATACCTCATTTAGACATAACCTGCTGCACATGACTTTCCAAGAAAGCATTTACCATAGATTTCTGTAGCGTGAAGAGTGCTCAAAGTTTGACAAGATAGTGAAGATCCAAATGAGCAAAACAATGTTATAAAAGCGAGTTCAACAGGTACTGAGCCAACTGCACCAGGGCTGAGAGCTTCTATTCATTCAGTTTCACTAGATCTCTGTAATGTTGATACTGTTAGACCTGGATACAGGTTTTTTTTTGGTCAAATACAATCTTTGAGAAAGCCTAAAAATATGTTTTAGTTACTGAAAATAAACATGTAACCAGTAATCTATTGAAATAGTGATCTATTTCTGCTTATCCAAAGAAATTAGCAGTTGAAGAAGGTAGTAAAATCTTGTATTTAAAGTACTTAAAGTATTGCATGTATTAATTATTAAGCCAAGGAAGTAATTTGTGCTATTCTATTGCCTATATTTTCCTTATATCCTCAGGGTACTGTGGGTGCAACTGTTATCATAAGCATATTTCTAGCTCTATCGGTGGTCCATTGAAAATGTCCAAGGAAATTACTCAAGAAACAAGAAGAGAAAAACACACAAGTTACCATAGCGTAAACACAGTGCAAGCAGCACTGCTGAGGCACAGAAGGCTTAAATACATGGCCAAGCAGTGATACTAGAGAGCAGCTTTAGTTTAGGGCATCATTTTAGGAAGAGGTCTAGCAGTGTTATCTGCACCGGGCAGAGCTGGACACAAGGGCACAATTCAGAGAGCCTTGTGTCCTTTTGCCCTCTCTTTACCCACATGGACCTTTCTACTGCTGAAACACTTCACAGGAATATCAAGAACTAACCCCTCTATGTTTATTCTTGCAAAAGATTCTTCTTCATCCTGGCTGAAGGTAACTGAAGCACAAGGCTGAAACACCCACCCAGTCAGAACTTGTCAAGTCTACAGCCTGCTGTTTTCTTTGATGTGTTGATTTCCAAAACATTCCAAAGAGCAGATAAATAAACCCACAAAATCATTCAG